TACCAGAACATGTTTTTTTTATTGACCCCATAGTTTTGAGTCAGTCGAGTTAATGAGCACTGAAGGATAATTTTCTTATTCATACATCAGCAGTAAAGAACCCTGCAAAGCGCCTCATCTAGTTGAATTCATTTATTATCCTCACAGTTTACAAATGTTTTTCAGTAGGCTAGGTGTTTTACCTGTTATGTTAGAATTCTATTAATCTTTTTCTATGGAGACCTAACTGTGTACTTGATCATTACAAGTTGGGTTGACTGTTTTTTGGGAGTATGCGTTTTCCTTTGGAGGCAATAGCTTACCTACATGATTGGGGTCCTAAACGTCTGTTCTCTGTTTTCTTTTTAAGCCAAATGGAGCTACTTTTCATGCTCGCCATGGTTACCGCGGACGTGAAAGAGGAAGAGGATCTGGGGTAATTCTTGATGTTTATTTCTATTTCATTTTTTTAATAGATAGCTGTCCAGATTTTTGTGGTCATGGTATAATCTCTTTTATATGATTGTGGAGCAGATTGACTTGCTTTCGGGGGGGCAATGCTTTTATCTTCATAGCAAATTTGTAGTTGATGTCATCAAATATAGCAAGAGTTTGACTACTTTCAATTTGAATATTTCTTGTGCAGAGCTCACGACCGGTGACAAAATTCACTGAGGATTTTGATTTTATGGCAATGAATGAGAAGTTCAAGAAGGATGAAGTTTGGGGTCATCTTGGCAAGAACAACAAATCTCATTCGAAGGATAGAGAAGATGGAAATGCCAGTGGTGAAGATGATTCTCAAGATGAAGATGAAAATGAACTAGCTAAGATTGAGGTTAAGGCAATACTGCAATCTTGTGTGTTCTGTTTTGCTGAATATAACTTTTGTTTTAAGTTATTACAGGCTGCGTGCATTTGATTATACTCTGTTTCTGCAGCCTGTTTATAACAAGGATGACTTTTTTGATACCATCTCATGTAACATGCTTGGTAATGACTCACAAAATGGAAGGACTAGATTCTCAGAGCAAATGAAATTAGACACAGAGGTAAATTGATTTTCGTTCCTGACCCTTGCAAAAATTTGTGGAGTCTTATTCAAAGTTTTTGGCTTGTTTGAAATAAGTTTTTTGCTTGTTCGATTATGCAGACCTTTGGGGACTTTACAAGGTACCGGGGCGGACGAGGTGGTCGCGGTCCTCCACGCGGTGGTCGTTCTCGTGGATCTTATTCTGGAAGGGGGTATGGATATGGCTATGTTGGGAGGGGCCGGGGCCGGGGCGCGCCTAATCGTGTTTCTTAGGTAGTATTTGGGTATTCTGAAGTGTTATAGTGAGGTAAACATGGAGCCTCATGCTCATGAAGCAACAAACTAGTTGAGGGCTGTGCATGTATGATGTTTTTCTTTTGGATTGTCTAGATAATAAAAGGATAGGATGCGTCATCACTGGAGTTCCCTTTGCCTAACAGTCCTTCTAGTGGAGCTAATGAAGCAGCAGTGTATTAATTTAAAGATATCATGTGTATCTTTTGGGGATTTGTTCTGCTTGTTTGTTTTGCATTTGCGTTATTAGTGGTCCTCCAATGGAGTTAATTGATGAGCCTCTCTTTTTTCCTTCATGAAAGTCTACATGTTTATCAGTCGGGTTTAGCGTATAGATCAGTTTGGTGAGCATTAGCGATGAGCAGAATAATGAACAAAAGAGGTGAGAAGTAGAAGTTTGACGGGGAGAGGAGCAAATAACTGAGTGGAAGAGCATCTGTGATTGACAGAACAGGTGATCAAAAGGAGGGCCAGAAATTTACATGTTTGAAGAGTGAGCAGCAGTAAGATACCTTTTAATGTCGTTAATGTGAGGCATTTTTCATAAGCTGGTGAGATCCGAAGATTTAGAACGTGCATTGGAGCTGGATTTTACATGATGGTTCAGGCATGATTCAGGGCGGACAACATTATACACTTTTGTGGAACTCGTGTAGTTCTGTTGGAGGTTTGGTTTTGCAAGCTGCATGTATATTTTGCTTCAGCGAGTCATTTGCTGCTAAGACAGGACAAGACTGCCTCCTTACTTTCTTCCAAGATACCCTTTGTACGAGAAAATTCAGTTTCTGTTGCTGTGACGAAGCGAGCAAGCACCCCCAGGTATTTCGAGGTGTCGTCTTCCATGCCTTGAAAAGTGTGGAGAAGGCATGGAGTGGTCTGCATCCGTATCTTGCACACATATGGTTGTGCTAAACCAGATGTGAAACACATCCTGCCAAACAGCAGCACGGTCAACCGCTTATAATAAGGGTAGCAGCATTTGAGCTTGATAGAGCCGTGCTTTATTTAGTCACAGACATTCCGTTTTCTTTAATAATGAAAACGGTAGCCGTTAACTGATCTCCTCTGACGCATCCCAAGGCCTGGCTGCGGCCCACTCGTTGGGTAGCAGGTTTATTTGGTATTTTTCAAAAAAAAAAACACAAAAAAACATCAATTTTTTTCCTGCTTCAGAGCTGAGACTAGTGATTCTGTGTCACTCTTGTTATGTTCTGGGGGTTGCGGCGCTAGTGGCATGGTTTCACCATCCACCGCCTTCTGGCCTGCACATGTTCCGACCTTGAAGTTCTTGTAAGAGATTTCCATTTCCCCCCCTCTTCTCCTGTTCCTTGTTAAGTTGCTTCCTTTAATTTTCCCTTGACAACGGGGCTATTAGATATCTTTTATGTTCCCACTTCAAGAAAATGTGTTTTTTCCCAATTTTTTTTTTAAATCTTATTTTTATTTATCTTTCTACATTGGTTTATCAAAAAAAAAATAATTTGATATATTTATAAATAGAAGATATTTGTAAAAATAATCTTATTACAATCTCAAAACTGTAAATCAAATTTATATCATTTTAGTGATATTTTGATCCTTTTTATTGTTTCCCACGTCACTCTTCCAGTTGAAAGCTCAGGTTTTATTATAATTTGGAGGTGAGCATCAGCTTGTTAAGATCGGTTTTGTCCATAAAAAAAAAATAAAAAATTGGAGATTTCAAACCGAACCGATTGGTTTTGGAAACAAGCGGGTATGAAGAAAGAAATGAAGCCTGGTAATCTGTGATCACTGATTGTTATAGAATTCAAATGCTGGAAATAACTTCAGCATCCTCTCTAGATTTACACAAGCAATATTCGCAAAATTAATTTGAACTTTTGTTGTACCCTACAGAAGAAGAGAATATATATATATATATAATTGCAAGCAAAAATAAACTTTTTAAAAATACTCGCATAAAATTTTTTAATCAAACTCACGTGATGATATTTAAATGTGACTTGATTTTTATGTTTACCCATCAGAGAACATTTTCAGCCCTCGATAGGAGTCATGGACTCCTGTCTACCTTGACTATCCACCAAGTTGAAGGTCCACCTGAAGCACTCAGGGCACAAGCCAGAGCGGGAATTTCTTGCTTCGAAACCTTCTTCCCCGTTCTAGATAAGATCAAACTATTATTTAATCCATGTTGTTTTGGAAAAAAAATTAATTAATTGATCCCTTTAGTTTTAAAAGTAAATATTGAATCCATGTATTTATATTTACTTGCAACTCAGCCCCTCCTCCTCCATTTTTTCATGATAATTTAACTGTTTTTTCCTTAAATGTTCTTTATTTCCTGTCAAGTTATTTAATCAAGCTTGTGCCCAACAATACCAAAAATACACAAATAAAAGGACATCTCGGATTATTATTTTTTTAAAATAATTAACCATCAATCTTGTAACCTTTAGATTAATTATAATTTTTTTTCCCTTTGTTCATTATGCTTCAATAATTTCTTCATACGAAATCTGCCATTTTTTCCTTCCTTCTTTTTTTATTTAAAAAAGCTGTAGAATTCTCATTGTTTTGAGCTTGGGACAAGACCAGTTCCTAATCCCTGTCTCCAATTTCTTTTGAAATCTCCATCAAACAAATGCTGAATCACATGGATTCCCACACCACGAAGTAGCATTTGTCTAAAAAACGATTGTTGTTCATCTTTAATTCTGTGCGAAGTAGCAAGAGTGCCCGCAAATAGATGCAGACCGTTGACGTACTTGACATGACGAAAGCAAACGGCGTTGATTGCTTGGCAAGTCCAGGAACCCGAGGAACGAGACTCTTGTAAAGTCAACAGCTTTAATGCTGCTCGCCTAGCATGCCCGTTGCTCCGCATGATTCCCCGTTAAGCATGGAACAAGCAAAGGAAGATATTCGAGAGATGAGAACTGAGAAACGTCGTTCTCTAGATTGTCACTATCGTAATTATTAAAATCTTGCCTTCTCGGCGAGTTTACCTATGAATTCATAATTCGAGTTTTTATTCGAATGACATGGCAGGTTAACTTGCAATTTAATTAATCATCTAAAATAATATTATCTTGAATAAAAAAATAAGTCTGGGTGAGCCCAATTTCCACGCAAACCTAGTTTTTTGGGTTTTAAAAGTTTTGAAAACTTATTGTGAATTTTCATTTGATTGAAAATAGAAAATGAAAACAAACAAATTGGTATATCTTGTTTTTTTTTTTTTGTAATAACAAAACAACCCCCCTAAAAAATAAAAATAAAAATCTTTTAAATCTTATCTAATTTTTAAAAGCGGCAGCCAAAAAATTTAATTATCAATTATTTTAATTTTAGAAGGTAAAATTAGTAAAAGAACATTATTGAAAAAGCTTGCAAAAGCAAAAGAAAAAAGAAGGTATAATTTGATAAAAAAAACCAAGGAAAATAAAGTTCGAAAATAAAAATAAAAACAAAAACAAACAAAAACAAAAAAAATAATAATTAAATTTGAAAAATAAAAAATTACAACGGTGAATTAGTAATAATATTATTATATTGAATAGAGAAATGTGCCTTGAGTATCAAATTTAAAGTTTTTATTTTTTAAAATAATTTTTTATTTCAAATTAATTTTATTTGATTTTATTAATGTTAAAAATAAATAAAAATTACTTTCAAGAGTAATTGTAACATAACAGAGTATCAAACGTTTTTTTTCCTAATATCATGTCCAAATTTTGTTAAAAACAGGAGGAGAATCCAAGCAGGACATCCATTTGGCCTTTCCTAAGAAAGAACTAAAAAAAGGCATGTCAGTAACCCTATAGATCTGGTACATCAAGCTTCGGCAGAGACTTGTGATACTGAATGTTCCAAAATGGCAACCCAAGTCTCTCCTTCACTAGCCCCACTTCTCCTCTTTGCAAGAATCTCAGGTCTTTTAGCAGCAGCTTTAGTCATTTCTTGGGCTCTTGTTTTCAAGTCTAGCTTTCTGCCTCAATCCACCTCTCAAGAAGACCTCATTTACGCTGTATGTACTTTCCTCTCTATCCCCTGTCTCACATTTATTAGAACCAGAGAGAACAAAAAGGAAGAAAAACCTGCATTTCTTGAACTTAAATTTTATGGTTCTCTTTCTCTTCCTCTTTTTTCAACAGGTTCTCCATCCCTTGCTGATGGTGATTGGTTTCATTCTCATCAGTGGAGAAGGTAATTTTGACATTAATTAACCAAGAAATGTACTTATGGATAGTAGCTTAATTAACTCGCTCTATTATAACATGGTAGTGGTTTACAAAATGGAGGTTGATTCTTGCTCTTGTTGTTTCCGTTTTCTTTTTCTTTGTTTCGGCGATCTCAGCAATTTTGGTACATAAATGGTTGCCTGGTTCAAGGGGTTTCAAGAAATCAGTGCATTTGTGTCTTCAAGGATTGGCTTTGGCTTGTGGGATTTTTGGGATTTGGACAAAGTTTCACGGCAACGATGGGATCGTGGCAAATTTCTTTAGTTTGCATTCTTGGATGGGTTTAATCTGCATTTCCTTGTTTGGAGCTCAGGTTTTCTTCACTCCTGGTTTTATTTTACTCGTATTTACTACAGTTTGCCTTTTATTTATATTTACTGGGTTAGCATTGCAAATCGATCCTTAGTTTTTTTTGGCTTTCTTGTTCATTTGGAAATGAATTATTAGTGATCTTGATGTGGTGGGTCATGGCCATCATTTTCAAGTAACATTCTAGATAATGCCAGGTCACTGTGGACCCTTACGTGTACATTCTCTTAGTTCAAATGGAGAAGGCAACACAACTATATTATTGATGATTCAATTATTTATCAGTCTAGATATAACCACCATTGTTAATCTTTTGCTAACCAATGACAAAGCATTGTTTAATTCCTTTTTGGATTTGGATGCTTTTTCAGGGAGAAACATGTGTGGAATCATCGTCTTTTTATGCTTCAGGCTAGGCGGGATGGACTTAGCTGTGTTTGTTTTTGGTTCATAAAATGTTTTTAAAATTTTAAATTTTTTTGTTTTAATTTTTTTTATATAATTTTGGAACGTTTTAATATACTTGTATCAAAAATAAATTTAAAATATATATTATTTTAAAATATTTTAAAATAAAAAATAAATGATCCTACAATTTCAAACACAATCTTAATAATTATTATGGAGTACAAGGCTGCCCAGTTAGTTTACTTTCTAGGTTTGTTTTTTAATGGTCCCTGCAAGACAGCGAACAAAAACAAATTAGTGCGTGTGGGTTTTTCTTGTGATCTTTTAACTTTTTCGCAATTTTTGTTAAAATCAGAGGTCATGACCTGAAAGTGGATTGAAATTTGGGAAAATAGTTTCAAGTTTTGACCAGTTCTTTCTCAGAAAATATTAATAATGCATCAAAATAATAGACCAATGATTCTTAAGACAATTGATTAGGGATTGTTTTCCATTGTTATCTCCATTTGTTCAAAAATGTTGTCAATGGAACCATTGAGGACCCCTTTGCAGGTATTGGAAAAACCATTAGTTATTTGGCTATCTGTTGATCAATGTTCCTCTCATCTAGCGGGAGGGAGTCCCTCACAAATCCAAGGATATCCTGGGTTCGGACCCTGGGCTTAAAAAATATATACCTCGTTGCAGGAGGAGGACAAAGTCGCCCTTCAAATTTGCAATCCTGGTCAATACTACTATTAAGTTTCTAACAGTACTGCTGCTAAGGACAACTCGTTGACTATCTGACTATTGACCATGGGCTGCAAGGCTTGTATCCATGTAAAATAGAAGTTGGCTATATATCGTGAAATAAACATTTTCTGCTCGTTTCAATGCGCAGTGGTTGATGGGTTTCATGAGCTTTTGGCATCGAGGCGAAATGCGGACGGTGAGGATAACAGTGTTACCATGGCACATCTTTCTTGGTCTCTACACATACGGGTTAGCCGTGGCAACAGCAGAAACTGGACTGCTGGAAAAGATTACATTCTTGCAAACAAAGAAAGACGTGTCGAAACACACTCCAGAATCCATGGTTGTTAATAGTTTAGGACTGAGCTTGGCTTTACTGAGTGGTATTATAATACTAGCTGCGGTCTCTCCCAGGTTTCAAAGTTTTCGAAGTGAACTTACGTATTCTGAGTCAAAGAAATTGATGACATGATATGTGATGTATTATGTATATAGAGCAGATTAAGAGCATGTTTTTAATAATTGTAAGGATAATGTCTTGCATCATTTTTCTAATTTTTTGTTTTGCTTTTTTGCTGGAATAGAGTGAAACAATTTGAGCACTTGATTTAAATCATGTAAACAAACAGATAGAAGACGGTTAAAGGGAGAGATCTGTGGGAATAGAGTGCAGAAATGCCCGATCTGAACTGCTAGATTTCGGTATGACAAAGAGTAAATTATTCTTAGCTTATGAGTTTCGAATTGTAACTTCATCCTTCTTCCCTGACAGTCTATGACTTCATCCCTTAACTTTTGTTGGCTAACACGGGATGGGGTTGTAAAACCTTCACGGAAGATTTGGCTTCCTACGAGGCTCAAATGGACTGGATTCTACGGGGAGGGTGGTTCAATTAAGTCTAGCAAAACCAACGAAGGTATTTTGGGATATTTTCAGTGTTTAACATAACAAAAGTGGAGTAAAGAGAATATTAAAAGCCTTGTGTGTGCTGAGCTTAAAATAAATAAATGAGTAACATCCCTTCAATGTAGGACAAACGGGATAGGTGGCCCGTGGTGAAGCTGATTTCTTTGCAAAATAATAAAAAAAATAATGCCCGGTTCCTGCAAGGTTGTTTTAAAGAAAAAAAATGTTAATTTTATTATACAATAAAAAAGTAATGATAATAAATACATTAAATTTTAAACGAAAATGTGATAAACCAAAAGAAAAAAAATATTTGTCAAAAGAAAAAATATCACAAAGTTGAATTTTAAAATAATACAATATTAAAAGATAAAATCAAACAAATAAAACAATCAAGATAAAGATGGTCAATCAAAGCTAGCATGTTAAACTTACAATTGATGTTGTGAAACTGAACCAACTTTATAAAAAGAAAATTGAAAAAATATAAAGATGGTCAATCCTCAACAATACAAATGAATAAGATTGAAATAAAAATAAAAATAAAAATAAAAAATTAACAAAAAGAAGCCTAAAAAATAAAACACTTAGAAATCTGAGTAAGGTCACTAAACCTCATGAGCTGAATCATGCAAATAAAATAATGTAATAAAAAGCAAAATATCAAAAATAATGAAGCTTGATTTTAAAAAACAATCCAGTTTTGAATGATAAAAGAAAAATGTTAAAAAACAACCCAAAAAAGTGGTTGGGTTATTAGCCAATCTTATTGTTCAAGTTATAAAATTGAGATAACTTATTGAAAACAAATCAATTAAAATCATGAAACTCATTTTTAATGTTGATGAATGATATTGAAAAAAATAAGTGAAAACAAATAATATCAACTCATATTAACTTTTCAAACTTGTAATCCAAGTTATTAAATTGAAAACACCTTATATGAAAAAATTACAAAGTTTAATTTCTATCAAATCAAATATTGAATATTGAAATAAAAAAAATTTAATTATACTAAAGAATAAAAAAATAATAATTAAAAGAATGAGAATCAAATGTGAAATAAAAATAGATAAGGGGACAACTTATAATTTTAAACTAAAGAGTGAAATTGAAGAAAAAAATCAAATTCATAAAAAAATTAAAAAACAAACAAAAAAAAAACAAGAATCATATTTGAAAAAATAACAAATCAAAATTACAAATCCAATAATAAAATTGAAATAAATTGATTTTTGACGGAAAAACTAATAACAAAAATTAGAAATATAAAAAAAAGAATTGAAGTTGAAATATTATTAAATAATAAAATAATTCTGAAATTTTGAAAAACCAACATAAATTTTAAGAAGAAAAGAAATAAAAGACAAAACAAAAAAATAAGTATGATTATACTGGCAGTTGTTTATATATGATTATTTATAATCAAGATGAGTATAAATAATAAGGCAAAGTAAAAGTAGAATAAGAAAGTCCAATAATCAAAATCGAATTATGATTATACTTTTTAGAAAGTGCAGTTGTTTATATATTATATATAGGTATAGAATCTATAACATCCATAAAAAAAATTAAATAGAGAATTAAAGAGTGTAATTAACTTTTAAAATATCGTTGTTAGAAAAATAACTGTTAAAGAAAATAAATATCTATTGAAAAAATACAGCTGTTAGATTTACAGAAGCTTAAAAAATTGTGGTTTCAGTTTAAGAGTCAAAAAATAAATTATTATTGAAAATAAAAAATTTAGAAAATATAAACGTTATCTTGCGTATAAAAAGGGAAATATAAGTTTTCTTCAACATTTTACATGCAAGTTTATCAACATTTTCATTTTATTACAAGTCTATGTTATAGTTTATTATATAAATACTGGAAAAAATATTGTTTTTCTAATTTAAAATTTAAAATTTATTAGGTTTAAATACTTTAATTTAAAAATAAAAAAATATTATCTTTTCAATGTAAAATAAAGATAAAGATGTTACAGGTAACTTCTCAAAATATATTAAATTATATTATTTACAGCATGATTATCTCTAATTCTAAACTTACCATTTACAAATAAGAGTATAAAGTCAATTTTAAAATCTTCATATAAATGACATTTTGTTACCCCATATAATAACAGAAAAGTTCCGAGCACACATTAGTTGTCGTTAAACGTCTACCGTATAAATACCAACTTAACTTCCATCTGATAATCTTCTGAGCACACGTTAGTCGACGTTAGTTTTTAATTTTATTATTATTTGTTAATTAGACTCATCAAGCGCTACTTTGGCTGTTTTTGAACGTTTATTTACATGCTTACTAAATTTTGACATCCTAGCATCACGTGGAAAGAAAAATTTACCCGAGAACAAAAAATTGCAATTTGTTCTCTCTTAGCTGATTATTATTTATATACTTGAGTAAATTATAAACCAGTCCTTGTATTTCTACTACATAAAACATTCAATCCTTTTAGTCTTGAAAATAATTAACCGATCTTTCCATCAAACTCAACCGTCAAGTTGTTACCAAAAACTAACGGAAAGCTACATTCCATCTCAACATTTCACAAACAAAAGATTATCAGATGGACTCAGTTATAAAAAAAAATTGAACAATACAAAAGTTATTCAATTATTTTCACATTAGACGGACTAGATGGACATATATTTGAAATTGTAGTTATAATTGTTTTATAAAATACATGTTAAAATATATTAAAATAACATTTTTTTAAATTATTTTTGAAATTAAAACATCAAAACAATTTAAAATATAAAAATTATTAATTTTTAACAATTTTTTTAAATATTTTAGAAACGTGAGATGACCTGCATTTCCAATGATCTTGTGTGTTTATATCATTTTAGTTGAAGTTTTTTTAAAATTTAAAATATATATTTTTATTTAAAATTAATTTTTTAATGTATTGATATAAAAATAAATTTTAAAAATAAATAAATTATTTCAATATATTTAAAAATAAAAAATACTTTTCACTGCTGCTGTCTTAAATATCCCCTTCTGTACTTACAGGAAAAGAAAAGGCTTCGTTTAGTGAAACGGCAACCAAGCGATGGGTTTGGTAAGAGATCCCTAGACGGTCAAATCGCCCGCCCGTCTACCCACTAAGGACTAAGAAGTAAATCCAGCTGGCTGCTGTCGAAATAAAAATGGAGCGGGCCGCCAATCCTATGAATCTGGATGATCGAAAAAAGTGACTGCAGAAAAAATGGATGTTCCGGTGATTAGGTTTCCGACTATAACTATGATGGTGAGAGTAATCGGAGTGTTGGTGGCTGCTTTCGTTCTAATTTGGACCTTCCATTTCAGAGGAGGCCTGGCTCTTTCATCTGACAACAAAAGCCTCATCTTCAATGTAAAAAAAACCCTAAAATCCTGTTCTTAATCAGCCATTGTCTTCTTAATTTTGGTATTCTAATAGCCTTGCTCCTCACAGGTGCATCCTGTTCTTCTGGTGATTGGTCTTGTTCTCTTGAATGGTGAAGGTAATTCCTTATGCTCATTTACTTTTTTCTTTTACTGAGAATAATTATTTCAATTCCATAGCTTGTAAATATTTAATGTAGAAATAGCTTGGATGAATATGTTCTCCTTTCTTTATGGATCTCACGGAATGGCGCAAAAGGATCTATACCCCAACCCAACTAGTGAAGAAATAAGGCTACGTTGAATCGTTGTCGTTGTTGTTGAACGTAAACAAATGCTGATAGATTTTAGGTGTTCTAGAAGTTAGAAATGGTAAGAATTGTTTGCTTGAATGTGGAAAAATAGGCAGTTGGAGAAATGTAACATGGCTAGCTTGTTTTGCTTGGTGCAGCGATGCTAGCTTACAAGACTGTATCAGGAACTAAAAGTTTCAGAAAGATAGTGCATCTGACAATGCAATCTATGGCATTTTGTTTAAGCATAATAGGAGTCTGGGCTGCTTATAAGTTCCACAGTGAGAAGGGTGTTGATCATTTCTACACTCTGCATTCATGGCTGGGCTTAACTTGTTTATTCCTCTTTGGTACTCAGGTTTGCTCTACCCCCCTCCCCCCCCTCTTTGTTTTTGAATAGCTTCATGGGTCATGCTGGACCAGTTATATATAGTAGCCCAACCATTTGTGCATACAGCATGCCTTGGAAGGTTATCCAGTGCCTTTTTTTTGTTCTTCTTGCCCAGTGTTAAGAACCCCGGACGTAATTTTTTTTTACAACTTCTTAGGATTTTGCTTGTCTCTGTACAGTGGGCTGCTGGCTTTTACACGTTTTGGTATCCTGGTGGTTCAATATACAGTAGAGCTGCTCTACTTCCCTGGCATGTATTCTTCGGGATTTATATATATGCACTTGCTGTTGCTACTACTGCCACAGGAATTCTAGAGAAAGCTACATTCTTGCAAACCCACAACATAACATCGCCCTACTCCACTGAGGCATATTTGATTAATTCCCTGGGTATGCTGGTTGTGGTTCTTGGTGGTTGTGTAATACTTGCCATAGTTACACCTATGAGTGCTAAAGGTGATGCTTTTAGAACACAAGAGTATCAAATGCAATATCCTTCTGTGTAATTACAGACATGTGTTGTTGTAGAATGATTCTTTCAAGAGTGACTTTGGTCTGTTTAGCGGAGAATCTTTGCTGGCCAACCATTTGGGCGTGTTTGTTGGAAGGTTAAATCTGAAAAATAAGAGCATGTTGATGAGGTTACTGAAAACGTTTATTGCAAAAGGTCTTCTAAGCCAATGATAAGCCAACTCTGACCCTGGCTGAGAAGTCTCTGTGCATAGCATTAATGGCCTCTTCCTCCTAGTACAAGTTCAAGCAATCGTAACAGTGGGGGGGGGTGTCCTTTGAAGGAGAGTTCAGTGGGTCATATACTATGTTTTTTTCCTACTTCAGTGGACGGTGTTACATGCTTAGGCAAACAACAAATATAGCACGGGTAAAAAGGAAAATTAGTTGTCTTTTTCTTTTTTCTTTTTTTTAATCTCCCTGTCAATTGAATCACCCCTAAGTCGAGGCCACTGAGAAAAAACCATCAAGCAATTCCTTAATTACAATAACACCACTTGGCAATGTGGATGAACAAGTGCCCACCCGCAATGCAACCGAGGGAAGAGCGTCAGCAACAGCATAATTATCCTATAATCTATATTATTATCATGTAATCCTTTTCATCACTATTAACTTCTTATTTTAGTATGTAATTATTACTATTTTGTTAATATATATATATATATATTTATTTATTCCATTAAACATAAACAATATTCTTATTTTTCAATTAAAAAAATTTAATACTCGAAAATACATCTACTATAATGATATTTTCATTTCTTACGTCCCCGGCTATAGGACTAGCAGCAAGACGTTGTGTTGTCGTTTATATATATATATATATATATATATATATGCTTATTAACTGTTAATAGTTAATTGATAATAGTTAATTAATCTACAACCCAGGAAAAAAAATAATCTCGGAGGTTGAAGTAAAAAACATATCGAGAGCCCGTGGAAAGCTAAAAGTGTTTTATCATTTATTTTTTTTTGTTCATATTTTAATGGATAAGTTAAATAAATAATTATTTTGACTATTTGTTTTGTTAATGGTCATTTCTACATTTAATTGTAGAAATGGCTAAAACAATAGCCATTGACCAATAATTTTTTTAAAAAAATATAAAAAAAATCTTCTATAAATACATGAAGAAAAAATTTATAGTTTTAAATTTTTGTATTGTGCCTCATCCTTCTCTCAAATTTAAAAAAAAAAAAAAAAAAAAACAAGAATTAATTATTTTTCAGTAACTCCTTATTATATTATTGGAATTATACATCAATAAAAAAACTATATTTATATTATTTAAAAAACTATATTATCAATTTAACTCTTATAAAAAGCATCTCGTGTTGGAGATGCTCTTAGTTATGTTATTGGGTGGTTGTGTTGGCTAGCTGTTGCTAATAATTAAGGAAACGTTAAGGGACGCAGAGGCGTACCAAAGCAACCGAAGCGGAATGAACACCAGCATCGAGGTTCGCCAACTTTTTTGCTTTGATCGTTTCATCTTATTTTCAGCAGAGAGGTGAAAAAAAGTGCTCTTCTGCCACTAATAATACGGGCATTCCTTCCTCTCTCTTCGCCCGCACCACCGTCACTCCCTCGCTCCTGCTCCTGCTCCGACGACGCCGTAATCTCTCATTTCTAAGATCCGAAAATCCTGACAAACTCCTCCGCCGCTCTTCCTCTCTCACCGACACACACCTCCACCTGACCTGATCCTCCCCCCCACCTCCTACTGACGGTGACGACTTCAAAGGCTGGGCTTTTCTCGAATCCACTCAGCAGAACAAGAAGAAAAGTTTTTCTCTTCTTTTTATCTTTTGTGTTCCTCAATTTTACTTTACGTAATCCGGTAATTAAAGGTTTTGTTCAATATGGATACTAGGGTTGCCAAAAATCGTAACTTCTGGGATTGGTACCGATGTTGCTGCTCTGTTAGCCGCCATTGCATACTTCTCTTTCTCTAGAAATGGTCTGCCTCCTCGTTCCCATTATCTCACTTTCGTGTTTGTTCTGGTGCTTTATTAATATTTTTTTAATTTTTTTTATTGCTATTACAGGATTTAAGTTCCGATTTCGTGGTCCAAGTTCTATTGAGACCACCATAGTTGATAAAACCGAAACTTTTGTGTTTGACGAAAATGCTGCTACCGTGTCCAAGACAGCTTTGGATGGTATATACGATGATACCGGCGCAACTCTCCCTAAAGGTAAATTATGTCTCCTCAGTGAACCTTAAGGGGCATATACACTTAAAAAAATTATTACTCTTGGCTGATGGGAATGTGTAGGGACGGAACTTATGCATGTGTGCCTCAAAATGACTGCCTTCATTGTTAAGTAGATGTCCTCAATCGCTAAAACATATTTCTACTTGATTACATTCTGGTAATCTTTTGAATTCATTATTGGAAAGGTAACAACCTGTCTATGCATCTGATGAAATTACATTTGTGAATGCTTTTGCATGCTATGGCCCAGCAGCTCCCTTTTTTTCTCTAGGAATCAGAAGCATAGAATTGTTCCATCCATATCACTTTCTGGTTCGGTAATTGCTGCATTTCATGACTTGTTTGTTGAAGATCCAGATTTTGAATCCATCCAAGGTACAGCTTAATCTTGATATTTGTTTCCAATCTAAGATTGAGTTTGTTATAGAGGAGTTCTAAAACACTTGTTTCTGGGTTGCGAATAAGGCCTTGCCGAGGCTGGCATCATACCCAGCAAGCTGTCAGGGATGAATTCCTGCTCTGAAAGTTCAGATGATGGAAGATCTTGCTTTTCCCCCTAGAGGTGTGCAATGTGCACTTAACCATGGATTTTTCCATAAGTTCCATATCAGCTTTCTCGTCTTCTTTCTATCTAAGAACAGGCCCTTTTCTTTTAGTCTTTCTTCTCAATATAACTTATCTGGTGGTGCAGGTTTATTTCTCGGCAGGATCTGATCAACTGGAAAGCTCAATTAGAGTATGTGTTTTTGTCAGGAATTACAGAACATGTAAATACTTTTCAAATTTGTGATTCTTAAATTTATAGAGTTGCTTAGAAGTAAAAATGAGCTTGGTAATTTCACCAGCTTTTCATGCCTTTCAAAACCTGACTTGTCTACAGTCCAGATGTCGAGGACAAATGTAGATTATATGGATGCAACGGGGATAAGCTCAGATGCATCGCCTGAACTTTTTGGCATTATGCTCAGATGCATCGCCTGAACTTTTTGGCAGGGGACAGGAGCATTATTAGAATATTTTTGGTATCTACCCCTTCTCATTTCCCTTCCCAAATTTATGCTCTTGTGAACTATAACTAGAGATGTTTTCATTCTTGTTAACTTATTGACAACATAAAACTCAAGTGATTAAAAGCATTCTATTGACTACCTTATTCAAGACACCCCCCTCCACACATATTATCTATTTATTATTCATGAAAGACACATATAAGCAAATTCTAATCTTAATATATTCAATCAGTTGGGTTCCTCTCTCTCTCTCTCTCTCACTCTGGTGTTTTTTTTTTGTTTCCTGCTTGAGAAAGAGCAATCTGCATTAGTAAAGCTTCTGCTGATATCTTATTTCTGTGAGTGCCACTTATTTTTTTAGCTTTCACTTTTTTTAGAAAAAACAAGAAATGCCAATTAGGCCAAAAGGGGCCTTAGGGTTGCATTGTGAGTTTTAGAATGCTGCCACCATGCAGAAAATGAAATATTGGGCTTGTGCCAATCTTGTGGGTTGGGAGTCCAGCAATTTCAAAGGAAATGAACGGGATTGGGAGTCGAGCAATTTCAAAGGAAATGTTCTTGTCATAGAATTGCATATGAAGATTATGATTCCATGGTTAAATTTGCACAGGACAGAACAGGCGGTTTTAGCCAAATAAACCTCTAACAAAGGCATAGGCGGCAGTTGCTCTGACAAGTGGCAGGATGTCTGATATAGTTTACAATGAAATATTGAGGCTGGAAGCTGAGAAGTTATTAAGGGAAGCTTCAATGGAAGAAATTAGGAATGAATTTCTTGAGAGAGAAGATATAAAAAGGTCTTGGAATGAGAAGATGAATGAAGAAAAAATTTGAGGTTTTGAGGTTGAGAAGCTTTATATTGCCATTTTAAATGATTTGGAAGAGGAGAAAATTGTACAGGTGAAAACTTATGAGGAGTATTTGAAGGACAAGGCAGCTATGGATTGTCAGAGGCAACTACTGCTCCGTCTCAAGGGAAAGGTTGGTGGGGGTGTCAGAAAGGCTTGCATCTGAGAGGTCTGTGTATGTGGCCGAGCAGTGTAATCTGCAGGAATTCCTCAGTGAATTACAATTGAAGCAGGGAAGGATGCTTGATGCAAAATCTATACTGGAAAGCTGAAATTGAAGCTCTTTGAATCCTCAGGTAAGGATTACAATTCAGAGTCTTTGTCTGGATCAACTTTTTTCTAATTTGTTGCATGGCTTTCATAATAATTTGCTGAACCTGTTGTATTTACTTGATTTATAGTTGACATTTTCAATGTAGAACTAGTTTCTCTACAAATGGATGTAATCAAAGCTATCATTGTATATTATCAATTTGGTTTTTTTCAATGTAGAATTTGCTCTGTTAGTGTGAGAAGTAATGACATCTATGATAAATTGGAAGTCTGCTTCCTATCATGTCGTGCAGAGCTAGAAATAGATGTCTAGAAAATCTATTGATGTACTCGTAAACATACATAACATGTTCTCTACCATTTCAAACAATCATCAGTTCCTGACCTTATCTGGTGTCCGTTACATTTTGGATCTGATGCAATGTTTCATGAACTGCAATCGTCTTAATTGAATCAATTGATATATTTTGGGATAGCATAATTAGCACCATATAAACTTTTTTTTGGTATTGCGAGTGTTGAGAGGACTGCATGGATTTAGAAGGTAGATGGTTTGTCTTGTTGTTGTGCTTCACTCTATGTTCAAAATAGAGCATGCTCTAGAGTATTCTGTCTGATTAGCAAAGTTAATATATCTACTTTGAATTTAATATGGCAATTCACTTGACTTTCCATACCTTCTGAACATGTATTCTGCTCTAGAGTGGACAGTCAGTTTGATATGTAAAAAAGAAAAAAGAGAGAGTGGATGAGAGTTTTATTTGAAGCTGAGGCACTATCCTACTTCATTTATACTGCTGGAACCTTATTATTCAAGGAGAAGTAAATGTTAGAATTCTGATATTTTTAATGGTTCTCTATTTCTAATTAGTAATTACTGCAGGTCTTGGGTGGAAGATGAGGTAAGGAAAAGCCAAGGCCGAGCTAGGAGGTTGGACGAAGGTGGAAATGGGACAATCAGGCCTGATTATAACAGAGCAGAACTATCCAATAACTACTGCCTCTTTTCCCCATGGATGGCTATAAAAGATACCGTGGATGTGAAATTGGATTGGTGAACTGTGATGTGGGGATTTGGTTTTGTGTCCTTATTTGTAATATGGTCATCATTTATGCTGTTACTTCTGGATTAATTAATCAAGCAATTAGTGATTATATGAATACCGGGGGATGTTTCAGGAGCATTTCTTCCTCTAATCTGTTTCTATTTAGTGGCAAGCCCCCAATAGTTTGTTTTACCCAAGAGCCTATGCTACTTAGAGCTGTAGTCATAAATGCCTTGGGCTGGGACAGGATCTGTTTCTAATTTTTCCGTTCATTGATTGTTCTTGATGAATGAATGTATTCTTGATTTGATGTTTGGAATACCAATCGAAACAGAAGGTTTTGTTTTCGTCCACGATGTTCATCTGAAGATTTTTGAGAAACAAGTTTTCATGTTACATCTTTAGTTGTCGGTCCTAACCTCTGCGTACGGGGAAGGCTAGGAAATTTTCAGGACAATTTGTACAATTAGTAATGTGCCATAGAAAATTTCTAACGAAACCTTTGAGTTGAAGATTAAGCCATAAGATTAAGCAATCCTTTATGCAAATGCTATAATTACATGAAGAAAGTAAACATCAGGATCAGAGCTGACTTCTCGGTGCTCTGGTTGTGCAAGCTTCACGTACCTGTCAATTTATCCCAAGCATGCTCGCTAAGAAGGAGAGTGCCTGCCATAAAGCTCAAGTGATTAACGCATCAAGTTAGGGCAAACCAGTAATTTGGGAAGAATGAGTGCTTTTGTGTGACTTACTGATCCCAAAGCTTTCAAAAAAGTCATTGCCGCCCAGGCACTTGAGTTGGCGCTGCAAGCTATCTACTCCACTTTCCCTTGTCTATCCAATAGTGCTTCCATCATAAGCCAAGATTTGTGGTTCAAATGGAGCTTCGCTCATGCTTAACCCTACAGTATTCAGACATGCTTTGGCTCCAGTATTCCTTCATGACACATACCTGGTATGCCTTCTTTTATCTTGCCATAAATTTTGTTTTTACGTCTGTAAATGTAGTTTGTTGTCATATCAGCATATGGGTCAGTCCTTGCTGTCTTGTTGAAAAGTCGAGGACAATCTTTGCTTTTGTTCGTGTTAGGAACAGGCTACCTAATTTTCTGGTATGTGGTGCCTAAAACGACCCATATGCTTATAATTAATTAGCTATAATTTCATCAGAGCGTTAAAAGAGAAACAAAATACTGAGAGCCCATAGTCACTGAATTGGTTTTGGACGATATAATTTGGCTGCTACTGTGCCTTTGTAACCAGTGGTAACCACTCATTTTTCAAGACCAAGAAAAGGATATTAAATCGTGTGTTTTTGTTTTGCTTCGTTGATTTATTTTATTGACCAGTTTACACAAATAAATTCCTCGGCCTACAATAGATTTTGACGGGTGCTAGTGTTTCTGCCTGCTTCTGAATTTTCCAGCGCACTCTCGTGATAGAATTAACTCATGTTTTGTTGGATTTGAAGAATGCATATAGATTATTTTGTCAAGATGATGAGAAAGCAAAGATTGTTTTATCAAGATGTTATTATGTGACCTTATCATATCTTAGGAGTTTCCTTCAAATATGCCATCCTAAAAATCCAAGAGATAGAAGAAGGTCTGACGAACACATGAATTTCACCAAATAAACCCAAATTCTCAAGTTAGAGATGAGACATTGTAGACAAAAGCCAAAAAGGGCAATCATGTGAAATGAGCAATCAATCACCAAAAAGTTCACCTCTTAACTTTTTTATATGCTTGGCTTTCTTCTTACACATGCTCCTGTCCATTAAGCAAACAGCCGGGAATTAAATTTCAGCCTTACTTGCCTCCACAAACCCACTTTTCTATTTTCCTTTCATCTTGATCCCTTTCCTTAAATCAAAATTTTACTTTCTGCCAACAAATGATCCAATTGCTAGGAAGCATGGCATTATCTGGGAAGGACCCATCTTTCTTAAATCACACCAGTTAAGCTGTGGTCACTCTTCCAGTGAAAATAATACCCGGAAAAAGGTTAAGGTCAATCAGATATCTAAAGTCTACTAATTGTTTGATCTTTGAGATCTGATCAACTAGAGATTAATATTTATCTGCGAGATAGGGTTCCAGTGGGACACCTAAGCATTAGCTACTATTAACAGCCAACAGAATCATTTATTAGGACTTTAGGAGGCATAAAATAAAAGACCAGACAGTCCACTATTAAGTATAACTTTTTATTTTTACTTGCTCAACTGTTACTTGGGATACACGGGTAAGAAAATAGACACCAGAGGAGCTTTAAGTTGTTGCTTAAAAATCACAGTATCTCTTCTCTTTCAGGTTGCTTTCTGGTTTTCTTTAACTCTATACATTCCTATGAAACAAAATGTTAAGATGATATATCTACAAATTTTTGCAATTTGTAAACAACCTTCTGGAGCAAACTGGCCACTGGTTATATTGGTGGTTTCTGTAGCTCTTAGCAAGACGGTTGGAATTCTGCTACCGGGAATTCTTCGTGGATAAGCAAGTTGTTCTTGAGAGGTCTGTAAACCTGTTAAGATGATAACACAGACTTTCCTAGAAACTAATAGATAAAGTCATTGAATTTGCATATGATTTTAGGTTTTCTAATCTAGGTTTTATACAGGCTTTGCAATGGTATTTCTTATTAAGCTCAATTGGCTATTACAGATTCTGGGTGGCTCTTGGTGCATTTCCAGGGCCATGATGGCTTGAATTTTCAGTTATGGAGATAAGGAGACATGGGTGGAGAGTTGTTTTGGGATTGGTTTATTTATATAGATGAGTGGAAGGTTAGGATTCTGCTACCAATAATACCTACATGATAGTCAGGTTAGGCTTCCTGGTTGCTGCTTCAATTGCAGCCTTTACAGTTAAAAAGCTTAATGTAAAAACTGCAAAGTCATCAGACTCTTCAGCTAAGCGATCAGGTAACAAATTCTACAAGTTATATTCATGACTACATATTTTATCAGAAGCAGCGAGAGCATCCTATATATGCAACATAAGTTGTATAGTTTATGTAGATAGCAAACTTTCTTATAAGTCTTGCCATTTTTTGGTTACTCTGGTCGAATTGAAACTCAGAAAATGGTGAAGCAAGCTTTGAGCAACATCAAGTTGAAGAAGATGACAAACAGCATTTTACATATTCTGATGATAGCTTCAAAGAGAAAGATGTAAGTATATACAGTAACATCAATTTTGTATCTCAATCACGACCACATATGTGAGGTACTGTTTTCATTATTTATTTTGAATTAATGTGAAATATACATTGCAGGTGGAAGAAGAAGAAGAAGAAGAGGTTAAATTGATTAGTAGCATTTTTGACCGGGCTCAAGGTACTTCACCTAGTATGGAAGACGAAGATATTTTACCTCAATTTGAAGATCTTTTGTCTGGGGAAATGGATCATCCATTACATGGGGAAAAGTTTGACAAGGCAGAGAAAGACAAGATTTATGAAACTGAGATGGAAAACAATGCAAGTGAACTGGAATGCTTGCGCAACCTAGTAAAAGAATTGGAGGAGAGAGAGGTGAAACTTGAAGATCAATTGCTCGAGTACTATGGGCTGAAGGAGCTGGAATCAGACATTGTCGAATTACAAAGGCAGCTCAATATTAAGACAGTTGAGATTGACACGCTTAATAGTACCATCAACTCCCTACAAGCTGAGAGGAAGAAGCTTCAAGAAGAGATTTTGCTGGGAGCTTATTCCAAGAAGGAACTGGAACTGTCAAGGAACAAGATAAAGGAGCTGCAGAGGCAAATTCAGCTTAATGCTAACCAGACAAAGGGCCAGTTATTATTGCTCAAACAACAGGTTTCTGGTCTTCAGTCGAGAGAACAAGAAGCCATGAAAAAAGATGCAGAGGCTGAAAAGAGGCTGCAAGCAGCGAAAGAGTTGGAGGTCGAAGTTGTGGAACTTAAGAGGAAGAACAAAGAACTTCAGCATGAAAAGAGAGAGTTGACTACTAAGCTGGGTGCTGCTGAAGCTAAAGTAGCGTCCCTCTCCAATATGACAGAGGTAAGAAACATGGTTTTCGCCCAAGAAGTTAGGCACATTCCCGAGGTTTCTTTCTTCTTTTTTCCTTAGCCTATTCAGATGGTGATTGGTGGCATATTATTTAAAGTCAGATTTCAGCTCATTCATTTAATATGAGAGATACGCTGTCATCCAAGCAGCATGTTTCCTTTCAAGAATGAGTTCAGCAGGTGCAAAATTACTTTGGAGAATTATAGAACAATCATACATGCTTGCCTTTGTAGTTATCACATTTTTCTATAGTAGCTGTCTCACCGTGAAGTATACCTAGTTTCAGCAAGATTGAGATGCTTAATAGGACTAAGTACTTAGAGATATCTAATAACTTCTTAATTATAATATAGTACAACAAAATAAGTAGAGAGGAGTGGTTAAATTTGTCTTTTGTATCATAACGTGTCATGTGCGTTTGTGCATGCAATTATTTAATTTGTACTTGTTATGCTTTGTCTATTGGTGTTGCAGACAGAAATGGTTGCGAAGGTAAGAGAGGAGGTCAACAATTTAAGGCACACAAAAGAAGACCTGTTAAAACAAATGGAAGGACTTCAAATGGACAGGTTTAGTGAAGTTGAAGAGCTAGTGTACCTTCGTTGGGTCAATGCATGCTTGAGGTATGAGCTCCGGAACTACCACTCACCTTCAGGAAAAGTGTCAGCTCGTGATCTCAATAAAAGTCCGAGCCCCAAGTCCCAGGAGAGGGCTAAACAACTATTGTTAGAATATGCTGGGTCAGAACAAGGACAAGGAGACACAGATCTTGAAAGCAACTATTCTCACCCGTCTTCTCCTGGAAGTGAGGACTTTGACAATGCTTCCATTGACAGTTCCTTTAGCAGATACAGTTTCAGTAAGAAACCTGGTTTAATTCAAAAACTGAAGAAATGGGGCAGAAGCAAAGATGATTCAAGTTCCTTTTCATCGCCATCCAGATCCTTCTCAGGAGGATCTCCAAGCAGGACTAGCACGAGCCACCAACCAAGGGGTCCATTAGAAACCTTGTTGCTAAGTAATGCAGGTGATACTGTAGCCATCACTTCATTTGGGAAGATGGAGCAGGATGCTTCTGACTCACTAAATTCTGTCGCTTCATCATTCCAAGTAATGTCTAAATCAGTGGGAGGAGTTTTAGATGAAAAGTATCCTGCCTATGAAGATAGACACAAGTTGGCGTTAGAAAGGGAGAAGCATGTCAAGGAAAAGGCAGAACAAGCGAGAGCAGCAAGGTTTGGTGACAGTTCAAATTTTGATTTTGGAACAAAGGGGAAGAGAGATAAACCTGTAACTTTGCCAGCAGAACTTTCCCAATTAAAAGAGAAACCAGTTGCCTCTGGTGGGTCAAATGACCAATCTAATGATGGCAAGGATGTTGATTCTCAGATTATAAGCAAGATGAAACTTGCCCACTTTGAGAAGAGGCCTCCTAGGGTGCCTCGGCCTCCTCCAAAACCATTTGCTGGTGTTCCAGTTGCTACAAATTCCAATCCTTCAGGCAGAGTGCCACCTCCACCACCACCCCCTCCAGGTGCACCGCCGTCGCTGCCTCAAATGCCTGGAAGACTGTGTCGTCCACCTCCTACTTCTGGAAACTTGCCAAAAGGAGCAGAAAGTGGTGATAAAGTTCACCAGGCTCCGGAACTAGTTGAGTTTTATCAGACTTTGATGAAACGTGAGGCAAAGAAGGATACATCATCTTTGATTTCTTCAACATCTAATATAACAGATGCTCGCAGCAACATGATTGGGGAAATCAAGAACAGATCATCCTTCCTGTTGGCTGTGCGTTAAATATTTGCCTGTACTTTCATTTACCTTCTTATTTTGCTCATAAAATAGTTTCACTGCTCTGATGGATAATGTGAAATTGCATGTGCTGGATCCAGGTAAGAGCTGATGTTGAAACTCAAGGTGATTTCATCCAGTTATTGGCAACTGAAGTTCGAGCAGCTTCCTTCTCCAACATAGATGACTTGGTGGCCTTTGTAAGCTGGCTCGATGAGGAGTTATCTTTCTTGGTATGTCCTTACTTCCTAATGCAAAGATTTGGTTGTTACATATTAGAGCTAATGACTGCTTAAGATAAAAAAGGGACGAGGTATCTCATTTAGTTCAAGGGCAAAGATATTTTCAGGAAATATGGAACATATTTGCATGCCACAATCATATCATCATTCCAACACCTTCATCATATAACTTTCAATATTATTGCCCCACTTAGAATTGTACTTTAGCCAATAACTTAGTCTCCAGAAAATCTATGAGTTTTTTTATTTCCTTCAGTGCTTTAACTAGCACTGTAGAAGTATAGAGAGAAACTTCACCTGACATATAATTTCAAACGTAATTTTTCCTTGGCTGCTAGGTTATTTTCTGAGACTCTGAACATATCTTTTTTTTTTTTTTTTTATTTCGTTAGGTTGATGAACGAGCAGTTCTCAAGCACTTTGATTGGCCTGAAAGTAAAGCTGATGCATTGAGAGAAGCAGCTTTTGAGTACCAGGATCTCATGAAATTGGAGAGGCAAGTAACCTCTTTTGTTGATGATCCCAACCTCGCATGTGAAGCTGCTTTAAAAAGGATGTACAAATTGCTCGAAAAGTATGGACAATCTTCTTCCCATGCTTGTTAATTCAATAGATTATAGCACTCTGGGGAGAAGTGAAACTCACTACTTGCTACTATATTTTGTGTATGGAGTTTCAAATTCTTTATTCTAATTGTAATCTCCTAGGAATTATAGTGTTGGCCTGATACCTTCTAACATAATGAACTGTTGCGAGATAGTTTATTATTTCAAATTGCTTGATTTTCCGTCTTATTTTTTCTTCTACTTTTTGCCAGAGTGGAAAACAGTGTATATGCTCGATTACGTACGAGGGACATGGCTGTTTCACGATACATGGAGTTGGGGATCCCAACTAATTGGTTATTAGATTCAGGAGTTGTTGGCAAGGTATGCTTAAAACGTGAGGACATAATTTTGATTCATTTTCATATATGGAATTAGTTCTGAAACCTTTGTTTGGATTTCCATCTTTGGTTCATGGAATCTACCATTTTATCAATAATTTCATATCTAACCATTTATAGCATATTTATCAGTGGATAGATGTGATGAACAAGGTCATGAGAAATTCTTCCATGCCTCTGATTCATCAAGATGAATTTACCCCACATTTTTTCTTGGTTAAATGACCTTGAAGACAGCTTTATCTTTTTAGTAACGGATACGAAATTTAGTCATGATACAAGAATAGTTCATGTTTGCAAGACTTATCTAAAATAATGCAGATCATTCAAGGGAAAAACTTCCATTATTTCAATAATAAAAGTTGGTCGTATAACATCTTTCTTGTTGCAGATCAAGCTCTCATCAGTGCAGTTGGCAAGAAAGTACATGAAGCGTGTTGCATCAGAACTTGATGCAATGAGCGGACCTGAAAAAGAACCAAACAGAGAGTTTTGGGTACTGCAAGGGGTTCATTTTGCTTTCCGTGTTCATCAGGTATATTTTATCTCCATGATAGTTACCGTAACCGGACATCATGCTGAACAATTAAAAATATAACTCTCGATTTGAAAAAGAATAGATATTTAACATTTTTTTTTTTAGGGAAAAATATCTTATTTAAGGAGTCGCTATCTAATATTATGGTCACTAAGAACCCTAACTGATCAATAGAGATTCTATGGTATGAGACTGATTACGTAAAAGAAAAGATGTTATCATCCTTTAAGTATCCTACCTAAGACAGACTGCATTACTAGTTTTGTCTAAAATTACTAAGAATTTGTTCTCTTTTTTTTCCTTTTTTATTTTTTCTTTCATGTTCCTAACTCTAGCGTCAGTGAATAATTCCTACGAATATTTCTAACTCTAATGTTGGTAAATATCGCACAAATCTAAAAAATACGATACTCATGACTTGGCGTCAGTGAATATTTTGTAAAAAATGAATTTGAAGAAGAAATTTTTTATGTCTTTTTTTTTTCTTGTTTATCCTTTATTATTATTTGTCATTTTTAGATGGAAGTAAAAAAAATATTGCACGATATATTTGTGTTTAACAATAATAGTTTACAGATTGAGCATATTTATAAAAAAAATAAAATGTGAGGGACCCATAAATAAATCAATGAAGATTTTTAAATATTTTTAGAATTTTTTTAATATAAAAAAAGGGCTTGTTTGGCCAAATATCCAACTAAAATGGGCATAAAAATGATAACAAAGGTATAAGGGTGTGTTTGCCAAACACACTAATTTTTTAATATAAAAAAGGGGCTCGTTTGGCTAAATATCCAACTAAAATGAGCATAAAAATGATAACGAAGGTATAAGGGTGTGTTTGCCAAACACACCCTTAGCAAACACAATTTGGGTAAACCTTTTATTTTTTTTCCTTTTGAGTTGGATCTAACCTAGTTCTGGGTGAAAGGTTTATGCATGCATGTAACAGTAACCAGTAAATTATTTTAACAAGGAAGGAAGGATACTTACTTAGACGTTCGACTGCTGAAGAGGAAGTCGAGGGAGACTATGCTAAAAAATAGAGAGGTTAAGGGGGGTGATGACTAGTATAAAGTTCACCGCCTTTTTTTTTTATGTTTCTCTCTTTTAGGGTTTTCATTAATGGTTTTCTCTTGGTTTTTTTTTTTTAGAGTTTCTCTCTAATTGTTTCTTTTTTTTCTTCATATACTGAGATCACTATTTATAATGCAAGAGTCCTATCGCATGCAAGAAGTAAAGTTTCAATCAAACTTATTTTTTTTTTTAAATTCGAATTAGAATCGAATTTGAAAGCAGATAACTATCATTATCTTGAAGGTAATGATAGAATGATAAAGATATGTTGTAGTCCCTAGTTTTCACGCAAGTTGACAAATCACTTTTCATAGAAATAAATCTCTGATATTTTAATTTTATATTTTAAAATCTGTAAAATTAAATTAAAATCCAATGGGCTAAAATTGGGTTACAACAATTATCTTAAAGAAGGTAAGGATTATCTTGAAGATAATAATATAATGACAAAAGTACATTGTAATCTCTAGTTTTTACGCATGTTAATAAATTGTATTTTTTATTAAAATAAATCTCTGATATTTTAATTTTATATTTTAAACTCTGTAAAACTAAATTAAAAATTAATGAGTTAAAATTAGGTTATAACAATATTAAATTGGATTAATGAGTCAAAATTAGGTTATAACAATATTAAATTGGAACACTCTGGTGCAAATCATCAAGATGGTGATTAGACGAACACTTTATGGTACTGCCAGGGTAGTTGCAAATTCTCTCTGGTGTCTATATTTCCATAGAATCTAATTACAAGTTAAACTTTGAAACAAATTATCAATTTGCAAATTTGTCTCTTGATGTGGACCTATTTCCAGTTTGCTGGAGGCTTCGATGCAGGGACCATGAAAGCTTTTGAAGAGCTGAGGAGCCGTGTAAGTTCACAAATGGGAGAAGAGAATAAGACGGAAGGATCATAATTTCTCCCTTGGCCTTTCTGTTGTATATTGCGTCCTCTCATTTCATGTCTTATTGTAGATAAAAACAGTCCAGTTTGAGCCAACAAAGGGAAAGTGAATTTATACCAGGAAATATTTATAAATTTTCTCGTCCTCTGGTTCCCTGTTTGCTCATGCGTGCTTAGTTTGGGTAAACACAAATGCAAGAAGAAAATGGATTTTAGGTAGCATAGCATTGATGAGATGCTATAAAGTCGACATGGGACTGAATAGCTTGAAGCCTGTAAACAAGGATTTGTGATTGTTCAAAACATTGTCAATTATCACATTTTCAACCTCACCTTGTTAGAGAAACTTGAAACTTAAAATATAAAAGAGCATCATCAGAAGTTATCCTGGGAATTAGACTAGTTTGGTTCGATGTTCAGTTAAGAAGTAAGGGATTAGTATTTGCTAATGGTTTCTCAGTCGAGACTCACTTGGATACTGCAACTGGATAAGATTTCTGTTTTCTGCACTTCTAGTTTGCTAAGGGGCATTGTCCTCCTTTAGAAGTTAAGGTAATGAACTCTATGATGTCTCAAGCACATTGGGAAATCCATGGTAATGAAACAGGTGCGTTTTCGCTTTTCTGTGGGGGTTAATAGGCGAGATTATGAGCTTGGCTCTCAGAATTGTTGCAGAGAATCCTGCAGAAACACGGTGAGGTATGTATTTTCTTCAAAATATGATACTTCATGCGAAATGTTGTATAGGAAAAGTCAAAAGTTTGGATGCCGATTATAGATAGCTGGCCAGATGGGTAACCGGTAAATCTTCCTTTGCCAATCTGGCTATGGTATAATATAATAAAGCAAAAGCAAAAGTCGAAAGCTTCACGCTGATGAACATTCCAGGGGCTCCAACCCCGCGGGGAACTATATTTTTATCCGAAAAAAAGAGTTTTGTGGTGCTTGGTGCATTTAGAATTGTTTTTCAAACAACATTTCTAAAAATTTGAAATATTTTTTTGTTTAAAATTAAATTTTTTATATTTTTAGATTATTTTAATATCAAAAATAATTTTTAAATAATTAAAAAATATTATTTAAAAAAACTATGTACACTTCTGAGAACTCCATAAATAAATAAAGGGAGAATCTAGTTTCAATCTTGAACTGTTAGTCATAAAGCATGTCTACAGGCTTCAACAAATAGAAAATCACACCATTTAGTCCACGTAAGTTACTGATTAATGAATTCAAGGATCGGTTATTAAAAAAAATAAAAATAAAATACATTAAAATAATCTATTTTTTATTTTTTTAAATTCATTTTAATATCAATACATTAAAATGATTTAAAATTAATTTAAAGAAAAACATTTTTACAACACAAAAATAAACATGATATTTTTTTTCAAAAATATTTGTGAAATACAAGAAGAAACAGACTGCTACAACTATTGATGCACATTTTCATGAGGTCACGGGAGCACTTGTGCAGTAGTTGTTAGGTAAAGAGAAATAATCAGATTTATTCTGAGGGTAGATGACAACGAACAAAAAACCACCTTTCTTTTGTATTATAGAAGATCAACTTCAATCTTGGGCAGACAAGAATGAAAGAAAGCAAATAATAACTGGTAAAAGCAAATAATAAGTGGTAGCATTGAAGTCCCACCTTCGCATTGTGATTAAAGACTTCTGTCAACGAACTTTGCACCTCCCACCTTACCTTGAATTTTAGTCGCGAGACAGATTACAGGTCTCTGGTCCCCTGCTTCAACCACCAACTCAGATCCTCCCCTACACTGCATTTATCACAAAAGCATAAAAAATGACTTCGATTTTACTAAAGAAACTGCACTGGACAAAAAGGCAGCACAAAGATCCATCTGCACTATCCCACCCAAAAAACAGGATACAATGCTGGTGATGCCTCAAGCAGTGAGTTGAGGAAAATTGCTCAATTTTTCGCTTTGAAACAATGAACTCAAACTTCTCGCTACTCGCGCATTAATTAGATATGTACAAAAAAGGATCTTCTTAGACCTTTAAAGGCTTGTGACTTTTATTCAAGGCGCCAATCAAATTTGCTAACTACAATCTCAGAACTAATATAAATTCAATTTACAAAATCAAGTTCAGATTATTATCACTCATAAATTTGCAGAGTTAAATTGATGGTTAATCAACGATCGGTTTTTTTTTTAAAAAACTAAGAGATCGATCCTTCCTACGAGTTCATTTTCAGTATCCTCGTTACAATTACTTGAAAGCCAGAATAACCTACTATTTGTGGAAGTGCATAAAGCTACTTGTGTCTCCCCTGGAATGATTTTCCCAGGTATGTGCGTATCTTTTTTCCAACCAAGGCTTAAAAGAACTGCCATTGTAGAAAACACCTTCTGAGCTGCGATAAAAAATTTCAAAAAGACCTTCCAAACTACAATACCGCAAAAGGGAGAGTTTTTTCCAGCCATTTTAACTACAATTGCAAAATGCTTTGAACTATACGAGTAGAACAAATTCGGAAAGTTTCAGAAATATGATAAAGACATTTGGAAAAATTGAAGGCATGGGGCATACTTGGTATAGCTTGATCTCTGACTTGTCAAAACCTGGTATGAAAAGAGTAATTGATTTTTTAGCTGTGTCGAACTTTAATGGTGGTGCCATGCTATTGATGTGACTTGCTGGCAAGGAAAACAGAGTTTTGGCATCTTGCCTGACCGCGTTTGGCATGATCGAATTCCTTTCTGGAGGGTAACCTATTGAGGGATGTGGAATGAAAGCAATTTGAATGAAGAACAGATTCCAGTAGCACCAGAAACTTGCACACCAGCTTGTAGGGTACAGCCCAATAACGTAAGCAGAATTTACAGATGTTGGAATGTTAGGGTCCATTACAGGATAGCAGCCAAATAGATGGTTCAGACAAGGCAGAAGATCCTTGCTGCAGTATAATAAACAAAATAAATAAATAAATCCTATCAGGCTTGTGTAGAAATGGAGAAGCAAGGTGTGTGTGTGTGTGTGTTGGGGGGGGGGGTCACCTTTACCTCCAATACCCTTTCCAAACTGTCCCATATTTCAGTACTCATTTTTCCGTTCAAATTGTATTTGCTCCCACTTAAACTCAATGCTTCATCAACCAGTCTCAGGAGTGAAGGACCGGCCAATCTTCCAAGATCAGTCTTCTCAGCCAAGTTCCTCAGGTACATATACTGCAGAAATATAATCCATTGCAGGAAGCACTCCAAGCTCTTCTCCGACCACCTTTCATATTATGATGAAAGATACAAAACATTCAATGGGAAGTGCACTATTTGATCGCTATGATACAACATAAGCATACACTGAGCTATTAGATACCTACCCCTTCAAGAACTCCTTGAGTCATCTTAAGACGAGAATCAGCTTGCTTCAGCCGACCAAGAGGCTCCAGAAGCACCTGCAGATATCATGAGCAATTCAGAATGTGCCCAGAGCATTTACATGAAAAAAAATTAGGTTACATAAAACAAGAAAAAAGAAGTGAAAAATCACACTTTTAGTGGTTTCCAACCTAACAGCCGAAAGGTTGTCATTGCACATGTTAGGATAAGTTCCAATTTTACAGTTAAGTAGATATTCAGCAGAGGGATCTTGGGTCTGTATCACGAAGCATGTCTGAAGCCCGGAAAATTGCACAACGCTGAGAGAAAATTAGCAATAAAAAATAAAAAATAAAAATCAAGATACCACCATAACTTGCACGAGTTATAAAATCAACAAAAAATGCAAAATAAATAACCAATGTTTAAATTTCTACATTCCCATTATAATGCAATTAATGAAAGTAAAGCTCGTCGTTAATTCCTTGATAATAAAGCTCGTCGTTAATCCCTTGATAATTAATACTAATTAGAATTTGAAAAGGAAAATATAGATGCTTACCGTTCTTCTCCAGCCTAAACGATTAAGGCAAAATGATGTATTAACTATCATCAATCTGAGTTGTTGTTGATTAACATAACCTTAAAAAGTAAACAGTGGCCAAAAGGAACTTCCATCTGGAAAAAGGTTAATTTTCCTTAAAAGTCTCCTAAATGTCATTCATCTACTGAGTACTTCGATTTAATCTCATTACATTCCAGTCTCATGAGTAGGCATTTGGTTCAGACAGTTTGAAATCATAAATATATTGTCTCTTTGGTAGATTATTAAAAACTCTGAACAAAGATCATAAGGCCATAGTTCCATCACAATGTCCTTCCTTTATCAATAAATGTCTTTAAATTTCAGACCTCTAGCCCGTGATAAACACTGTGTAAATGTAAACATAAAAGGTTGGATACAACAAAAAAGACAGAAACAAATTGACATCATTTCTTAGGTTGGGTAACAAGAATTCATTGAAAGAAGAACCTTAGCAGCGAAAACTGCAGAAGTGGTCTTGCCAGAGCCACCTTTGCCCAAAATAGTGAGCAACTTTGTTGAAGAATTTTGATTATAATCATCATTCAAAGAAGCAGCAGTAATGAAAAGAGGTGTAGCTGTTGTTATTCTAAGCATCTTGATTTTACCACTACGTTTCAAAGGAGAGAAACCAGAATCTGGGTTTGCGAGTAGCGGAGGAGAGGAAGAAAAAGAAGCCATCTTTGGCAACTCTTGTGTAAGTTTCAGTGGGTCTTTAAAATGGGTCAGGCTCGGTGTGGAGAAGGCCTGTTGGGTTTGGTGGTTAATTAGTTAATCGATTAATCAATTAGTTCCCCTGACTGGTTAATTGCCTGATTGTAAGATACCGTTCGCCGGTGCTCTTTGCATTTTGTTTTCTTTTGCGGAAACAACAACAAAAAAAAAAAAAACATTCGCCTAGTAATTTCACTCATCTTCTCCGGAAACAACTCTGGTATTTTAGATTTTTCCATCATTTTTAATTATGTCCACTTAAATTAAGTAATTTTTATTAATTAACAATCACATAAAAATTATGATTTCAGTAATTTTTAAAAAATGAAGACAAGAAATGAAAGTTATATCAAATTTAATATATGATTTTCAATTAGTATACATGTCTCGATTTAAATAAATAATGTGCAAAATAAGAGTATTCTTATAGTGCTTTCCTTTCTTTTAAAAAAATACCGAGTTGCTTTATAACCATCCAAATCTAATTAGTAATTATTTTTATTTAAAAATATATTAAAA